GACAAATTTCTGTTTATAGTAATGTAAATCATCCAAAAATGGTCCTGATTGTGTAAATACAATTGTCGATCCAAAAAAAAAATTTGCTGTTAATTCATTTTTTAATCAATAAACACATTCTTATGTTTTTTAAAATGTCTTCAGGACAATATTATAAAAAGGATGCCTTTTTCGTTGATTCTAATGAAAATATAAAAATCGAAGTTTTACATTATCCTCTCACTAATATCATATCGGTAATAAGTTTTAGTATTATATTTAATCGAAATTTATTATTAATGATATTATAATTAATTATAACATAGAATTATCCACCAATTTTATTCATTCATGGTTTATATATTACGGCTTGGGCTTGGGATAATTATTGTCGGTGGTTTTCAAATAAAGGATATGATTGTTACGCTATGAGGTAAATAAATTGTCACGAAATAAAAGCATGATTAGAATCCTAAATTCAATAAATGATTTTTTATCTTAGTTTTCGAGGACATGGAAATAGTACAAAGACTCCAAAAAGGATAGTTTGTGGACACTAAATGATATTACAAATGATGTATCGGTTGTAACTGATGCAATAATTACAAAAACTGGAGATAAACCTATTCTCGTTGGGTAATTATTTAAACATTATTATTTTAATAAATTTTTAATTTTTAAATTGATTTTTTTCATTTATTTCATTTTTTTTTTTTGATAGGCATTCACTTGGAGGAGCAGTACTTCAAAATTATCTTAAATATAATCAACAGAAAGTGGCGGGTGGAGTTTTATTTGCAACATTATCACCGTACAGCTACAAAAAAGACGCCTTCAAACAAACTCGTAAATCACTTTCAAATACACCAATTCTTCCTATTCTTAAAGCTTTAATTACATTAAAACCATATGCATTAATTGGAACTCCTGAATTATTGAAAAAAGCTTCATTTTCAAAGGCATTTCCTGATTCTATGGCTAAATATATTCATCCAAAACTCGATAAAGTTAGTTTTATCAATGTATTCTTCGAACTTTATAAACTTTTTGTTGACCCAACAAAAATCAAATGTCCTATAATTGTTATTGGTGCAGAAGAAGATAAAATATTTGATTTTAAAGTTATAAAAGAAACTGCTGAAGCTTATGGTGTAGGATTTGATATCATTGAAGGTGCTGGTCACAATATTACATTGGACCTTACATGGGAGGATGCTGCTCGTATTATCTTTAATAGAATCCAAGAAAAAATTGTTAAGGAATAATTACATCATTTTCGATAAGTTGAGTATGGTAGAATAAGGCACTATTATAAATTAATACTGCCTCTTATCAATTTTCATCAACATATTTGTTATTTAGCTTTCTTCGAATAAAAACTTATTATAAAGTATAAGAATAGGGTAATAATGATACTGTTCTAGTCTAAGATTTCGCGGTGGCCCAGCCTTTCGCTTCCTTCCTTTCTTTTTTTTTTTGGAAAACTTCTTATTAAAAATTGTTTGTACTTTAAAATAATTCTTAAACAAAACAAATTATATTAAAAAAGATTAATTTTTTTAGTTAAAACGTGCAGACTCATTATGGTTCATACGCACAGCACAGTTAGAAAATTAAAGCCGAATGGCAAAAAATTTATTAATAAAGTAATAAATATACAATATGTAATGGTCGAACTTTAATTAGTGGAAATCGGGATATTAATAACGTTTTAAATTTCGGATGACCTCTCTTTTTTAATAATTTTGTCACTCCGTCATCAGCTTCGAATAATTGATATTTTTAAGGAATAGCTCTGCCCATATATATAATGCCGGTCAGCGTCAAATTTAATCGGTTAATTAGATTTTAACCGACGTGTCGAAAACAATTTAATTTAATTGATTTGATAAAAAAAATATGTTTCATATTTAGTTTAGAAACTAGATTCGTCATAATCTCGTGCTTAGAACGGGTCAGGGTAATCAAATGATTCTTATTTTACGCTACTTTAATTATAAATAATTAACAATAAGCGAATCTATTGACTTTACCTCTGGAAGTGCAACTACTCGAAAACAAAAAGCTTTACGTATAAGAAATGATCTTCCATTGATACTAAATCTCATCGAGAAGTAAAATGCCCTAGATGATATAATGATAAGTTTGAAAATTTTCGTTTGGTTTTTCGTATGATTTAAGCGATAGACACCACATGATCTTGAAGTCGGCAAGTATGATCGCATACCATGTCATCATTTTCAACGAAAATACTGTAGCTCTTTCAATAAAAAAAGGAATGAAATAAAAACATTCGTTGCCGAAAAAAAATTCGATGTACTATGTTTTGAGATCATTGGATCAAATTTCGAATGTCTTGATCGATGAAAATATGCCATTTTGTGTGAGATTTTTCAATAATATATGATTTTACATATTCATCCAAATTTAAAATGTTCGTTTTGGCCGAATAATCACGATGCTAGTTTTGATTCAGGATTATAATGAAAATAATCACATATTATTAAGTTCAATTGAGGTAGGGAATCCCCTAAGCCACAAAAGAAATCGCGAGAGATAATGAAATAAATAACGCCCAACTGACTTTTATAAAACGTACGATTAAAATTTGACTTCATTTAGATCTTCTATATATAGATTTAATCTTTCGATTAAATATCTTTGTATTTTCTCAAAATAAAAAAAAAATATACTATTTCCAATTCCAATCGTCAAACAAACACGATTTTTTTTTTGCCATCTCACACAATTTTAAAATCAACCAAAAAAGTACCCGAGCAGAAAACCCATTATTCATGATCATAGTATTCATGTAATCCTATTTATTATTTTTCAACGGAATATTCTACTTTCGATCTTTCCATTTGATACGAATAGATGTCTATGAATAAAAGCATATTATGTGTTACCATTCCACAAAAAAATATTTTCAATTCACTTGAAATATGGTTATTTTTAATCAATCTTAATACTTATTATAATATGTAGTTTAAATATACTGTAAAGTATAAAAAAAAAAAAGAAATTGAATTTTTATTTGTTGGTGATAATCTTAAATTCATCTTTTTTATTAAGTTACACCTTCAAAATTTTTTTACAATAATTCTCATTGTTGTTTTCAAAAAGATACGAAATTTAGCATTAGAAAATAAATATATACATATTTTTTTTTTATTTGTCATTTGAACTCATTCATACCTTTGATTAGTGCTCCGAGCCGGTCGAATCGACCCACATTTGACCCGACTCGAGAGTCGGGACTATCATTTTATGTCACGAGTCCTAATTTCTTAAAACCCGTCGGGTTAGGGTCTCGAATTTGCTTGACCCGGGTGACCCGAATGATCAGGTGATGCTATTAATTCGTAACTTTTAAAAATGAGTGAAACTATCGACCTTATTA